TCTTCCACCTTTACAAGCGTGCTCTCTAGTTCATTTTCCGCGTATCTTCTCAAGGTATCACAGGTGATAATCATACGACTCCGTCGCATTGCTCTCCAGTAGGAGTTTGGGTATTCGTTTCCTTCGAGGCATTCCTTAATAATCAAGAGGAACGACGTTCAGGACTTCAAAGTGTTGTTGAACTCAATATTCCCCGACATCCAATTCACAATGGAAGAGGAGTACGACAACCAGTTGCCCTTCCTTGACGTAAACATCACAAGAATGGCTAATGGGGGGATCAGAACTACGGTATACCGAAAGGCAACGAATACCAGACGCATCCTCCAACTCCGGAGTAACCACCCCATCGGTCACAAACGCAGTTGTGTCAGAGCTCTTTTCCAACGAGTTCAAACACACTGTAATGACAACGACGGGAGAAGGGAGGAAGTGAAGTACCTGCATTCCCTATTCACAGCCAATGGTTACCCACGATCCTTCATACGTGAGTGCCGAAGAGAATTTAACCGCGAACGATCTAACGATGAGAAGCCGAAGTTCTGGCTCGCAATCCCCTACATGATGAATGTTTCTGAGGCGACAGCAAGAATCCTGAGCCCTTTTGGGATTGGGGTGGCCCATAAACCGGAATCCACCATCAGGCAGCAGATAATGAGGCCCAAAGACCAGCTACCTGCAACGGAACAATCAGCAGTGATCTACAGCATACCTTGCCAAGATTGCGGTGCAAGGTATGTTGGTGAAACGGGCAAACGCCTCTGCACAAGATTGCACGAGCACCAGCTTGCAGTCAACCGCAAGGATAAGCTGTCACTGGTATATGGCCACATACAACAGGAGAAGCACAGTTTCGCCTTTGGGGAGGCAAGCGTCATCGGCCGAGCGAGCGACAAGATGGCCAGACTGGTTCTCGAAAGTTGGTCCTCAGTTGACACAATAAACAGAGCCATTGATCTTCATCCGGCCTACCAGGCCCTTCGTACGAGGCTCCAGTCAGCTCGGACGGGGCCGACAGCACTGGCGAACAAATCGTGGCTCTCTCAACAGTTGTCACCTTCCCAGCAGGGGGAGAGAGCCAGCCGGGGGTCAGACGACCGACGCGAGATATCGACCCACCGACGCGCCCAAACAGCCGACCCCGATTCCCACATGCAACGGCAGCTGATCAGCCCGTCAAATTATGGGGGGAGGGCCCAAGGGCACACGGACCTAGCAGCGACAACAGCGGCCGGGCAGGGGGCAGAGGTCACACCAGCGCCCCAGCGGTCGACCACGGAGAGACCTAAGCCAATCCCCCGCCAGCAGGCAGGTCAGAGTTCATGTAGCAGGCATGCCTATAACACGAGACAGGCGGCGAGACAGAACAACCCTGAGCTAGCAGGAACAAACACCCTACCACTACTCTGATGATGGAATCGAGGAAGATTCCGAAACGTCAGCACCAATACAGTGTGGTCCATGGCATCGCCTCTTTGTCTTCTTCGTCTTCTTTTGGGGATGATGAACGGGATATATATATATATATATATATATATATATATATATATAATACATGAGCAGCTCGCTAAGAGTGCAACAGGCCAGACGCAGACAGCTGTTTCACGGTCGTTACCGATCATCAGTACGTCATAGGCCTTATGAAGTGAGGTATATAAGCATGTCAAGTGGGCGTTTGACCCTCACTGTTGTGGTTAGGATCTCACTCGATCCCATTCTGTCCGCCCGCCAGCTTGCTACTGGCGACAACGAACGCTGTGTCAGAGGACACATACCACATATAATACATGAGCAGCTCGCTAAGAGTGCAACAGGCCAGACGCAGACAGCTGTTTCACGGTCGTTACCGATCATCAGTACGTCATAGGCCTTATGAAGTGAGGTATATAAGCATGTCAAGTGGGCGTTTGACCCTCACTGTTGTGGTTAGGATCTCACTCGATCCCATTCTGTCCGCCCGCCAGCTTGCTACTGGCGACAACGAACGCTGTGTCAGAGGACACATACCACATATAATACATGAGCAGCTCGCTAAGAGTGCAACAGGCCAGACGCAGACAGCTGTTTCACGGTCGTTACCGATCATCAGTACGTCATAGGCCTTATGAAGTGAGGTATATAAGCATGTCAAGTGGGCGTTTGACCCTCACTGTTGTGGTTAGGATCTCACTCGATCCCATTCTGTCCGCCCGCCAGCTTGCTACTGGCGACAACGAACGCTGNGATCTATTGGCTTCACAAAGCAAACAAGGTCCGTATGTGTGGCAAAGGTCACGAACAGGCAACCAATTACCAGGCCGAAGTCGGCCAAGTCATAATAGCAGCGAGGAGGGACGACAGAGAATGCGGGTAGATTGATACAGCAGCTGCTGGTGGTCAGGGTTATGATTGGCTGAATGAAGGCAGAATAAGCCCGAAACAGTGCCGTATTAATCTACCCGCATTCTCTGTCGTCCCTCCTCGCTGCTATATATATATATATATATATAGAGAACGCTGGGGGTCCCACTGAAGATCCGAACCCCTCACAGCTGTGTCACGCAGCGGCAGAATATCGGTGAAACACGTGTCTGGGCTTTTAGCAAGTATCTAGGTCGGGAGTACGGTATACTACCATTACCATATGGAATTCATACTACTCGTAGTACTACTTGTTTGTAGAATGGGCATTACGTGGTTATTCCACAGTAGTTGATTGTCTTCGACTCAAATGTTCATTGAAATTTCGGTTCTGACCCTAAAAAGTCATGTCCCGGAGATTTAACTCCAAGTTCTGCACTGATTAATTTCTGAAATTATTCACCTGATTATTCTCTGGAGTTCATATACCGGAAACCGCTAGAGAACGCTGGGGGTCCCACTGAAGAGCCGAACCCCTTTGCAGCTGTGTCACGCAGCGGCAGAATATCGGCGAAACACGTGTCTGGGCTTTTAGCAAGTATCTAGGTCGGGAGTACGGTATACTACCATATATATATATCTGTCGAAAATCCACAGGGCAACGGGCTCGTGGCCCGGTGAGTAGAGGCGTTGACTTCTTAACCGACAGGTTGCGAGTTCGGGGCTCGGGTGTTCCACACTTCGGGCTTGGGTATGGCTGGCTGACGACGGCTAATATGCCAGAAATGGCCATTCCAGTCTCCCTTGTCTTTGTCGGTAATAACATTCTGCCTATATATATATATGGAATGTGGCCTAACTCATGAAATGTCAATTAAATTCCGAAATGCGTTTTCTTTTCGTAAGAATTAATTATTAATGTTTGTTAAACGAACCGTCATGCAACGTAATGTCATGATACTTCAGCTACCTTAGGATGCCGAAGAGAGTTTCGTTTTGAGGTAACTGGAGTATTATATAAGTATGTTGCACGCGGATTACCTTTAAAACCCTACTTAAGTAAACTTTTCAGAATGAAAACTCATTTTAGAATTTCGGTTAACATTTCACGAGTTAACATATTTAATGGAAACTGCGCACAGGACTTTCCTTTATTCTACTCAGTTGGCAAATTTAGTCTTTTTAAATTTTTATATTGAGGAAGGAGTAACGTGTGGTTTAAAAAACTTTCCTAAATCCAGAATAATTTGGAAGCCGACCTCTCGTTAAACTTGTATTTAGGGTTGACCGTCTGCATGCTGTGCATTTTTCGTGCAACAAAAATGAAACAGTTCTACATGCTATTATAGAGAGGACATTTGGGGTTCATACAAGTTTGCAAGGGATGTGAGCCACGTTACACATTTGATAAACAGTATCGATAGATTTGCTGATGTGATGCCGTACGACTGTACATTTCACGGTCTTGAAAAAATCACATTACCCAAAGCATACTCTTTCTTCTAGTATAAAATTTAAGGGAGACATTATTTGCTATCAATTGATTGAAAAATAAGAGTTTTTTATGTGCCTGATTCCCACAAAATATATCTGAATTTGTGAGGAGGTCGAAGACCGATAGGGAAAACATATTGCTTAGCTAATCCTTTTTGATGGAATGTAGTTTACGCAGGCGGTTGAAAAGGTGCTAGTTTGAAAACCGTCATCGTCACGTAACTGAAATATCTTAGGATTAGGCATGACAACTATACTTAAGCAATTCTATCAAACCGAAACGTATTTCAGAATGCAAACCAACATTTCATGGCATGGCATATTTACCCCACATACTTTAGTTCTTCCTGAGTCTCGGTACGCCCAGGGTTGACTACTGTTTGTTCAAAACCCTAGCAAATGAATTCCGACTGTTACAATATCAGGACAGGCGGTAATTATGATGAATACGTAGATGGATTTACTGCCGAAGTTATGTTTAAAAGCATAATTTTAAGTTGAAGTCGCTTGTAATACACAAATACCGCACAAGAACAACGGACTCTCCATACGGAAAGCCAGCCTACCTATCCCCTCCATAGAACTTCTACTTCAGACCTACGTGAGCATTGTCGCATCGGTATAAACAAAAGAAGAGAGCTTGAACAATTCAATCTATGTGAGACAAACTTTATTTTTTCAAAGATGCATCACAAGTAATGAGTCAAACCTCATGATAACAGCAACATCATTTGAAAAACAAGCAAAACTGTTATTTAAACAAGGCACACATCACCACGTTTGCCAACCCCATGGCGATGGAGGCGATGAACCGAGGATGAACTCGTGCTAGTTGTCATTTAGTTGCGAGGTCTGATGATTACGTTGAATGCTTCTCCGGTTAAATTAACTCCAGACTTGAAGAGGACGTAGACTGTCTCATTCCTCATTCGTCCAAATAGGTAGACGTAGGATTCATCTAGGGTAGGTTAAATTTGTGAAACATGGACAGTGGTCAAGGAACAAGAGCAGGAATCAAATGTCCACCAGATAACATCGTTTTAAATACTTGGCCTTTGGAAACCTGTTTTGGCGTCTTGTTTGAGAGCAAACTTCTACTAATTATAATGTATACGACACCGTCAAAAGGATCACTGCTTGCTAGCATCACTATCCGCGTGTCCGTTTTGGTTAGTAGGCAGTATGTCGGAAGCAGTTCTGCTGCCGCGTACCGTTGTTAACGCACACATGCATTTTAGGCGAAAATGAAATTATATTTACATCGCAAAATTGGCCGTATTCTGCTTGACTTACATGATACCTTTGTCAGATTAAGTGTTGGAAATGTGATCTGCGGGAGAGGTAGGTTTGAGTTAGTTTGTGATAAGCAGTAAAAGGGTGAATAAAATTGAAACAAGGCGTATTATACTTACGCTAACGCTAAAATCCGTCCGGAATGCCTGATCGCTCACTGTTTTATTGTTATACACATACAATTGACCGAGCTTCTCAGCTTCAGAAGGGCAACTACTGCCTAGAATGAAGATATGGCTGTCATTAGCGATTGATGTTAAACTAGGCTACATACTACACAGACATGACATACCGTTTAAGTTAATGCATCCCACTTTGCTGTGACTTCCCAGGACCAAAAAGAAAGTTATTCCTTTTGGGATTTTCGTGCTCCGGGGAATGGTAAAATTCTGGCTTACATCTAAAAGCCCGAGCATTAATAAAATCGTTATTTGTTTTGTTTCATGAATGGCGGAAATTAAGTGTTTTGTTGAATCAATCTTACCAGCTACCAGACCGCATACCGTGGTGTTGTAATCGCACGACCGGTTTGCTGACTACAAGACAAGGAAATCAATGTAAAGGTATTATGAAAAAGTGCCTGTTAATTGTCGTTCATGACCAAGGTGACATATTAATACTGCGTTACGTTAACATAAGCGTTTTGAACATTGGACGCACCTCTGCGAAGAAAGGGATTGCAGTCAGGTTGAAGACAAATCTCCCAGGTTTGTCAAACCTTTCGACGCTGTTGGTCGCAGTGAGAACTAACAGAAAATAAAGTCCACAATTATTGCATGCCAAGTCTACTTATCTAGTAAGGCAAGTGTGCAAGAAGGAATGGACTTCGTTTACCGAGGACAGAGAAACAGAGTATAAGGCAAGAATGCACTGCTAAGCCCATGTTTCTAAGCCGAGAGGAAGTGATAGAGAATGGCGTTCATGTCGCCTTTTAAGGATTCGCCGAGTCACCTTGAAAATCCAAGGTCCTGCTAGGTTGCAGTTTTCGTGGTAGGAGATCATTTCTGATTGGCTGAGCCATATTTAATAGCCTCTGTCTTCTCAGCTAAACAAATTTTGCATCTTAGAAGGCGGCATGTGGATGTCCTTAAGAAATTAAACTTTGGCTTATGACGAATGGTGCTGTATGTGGTAAAATCCCAAAATGCATGTAAACTGTTGTAAAAATGACAAGTACCTGTAGGTAAACTAATAAGACGTAGTCAGGATCAAAATATTCTGGCCATTTTGAGGTTGTTAGAGGAAACCAAAGAATTTTCACTTGGAAAATGTTAGAGAAGAAG